AGCACTGAGGGAGGTGATGACAGGTCTAGGAAATGAATCAAGAATGATGTTGTTAAGTGTCGAGATAGATTTGTTTTTGGGTGACAGGATCAGACGCTCCGCGAGCCATTGGGGGTTGTCAAAGTTGTGTTGGGGGTCGGGGAACGTCCAATCGATGAGCTCAGATGTTCCGCCATGGAGGAGGCAAAGATGAGGAGGGAGGGGAATGACATTGGTAGGGGCATTGTGTGCATGTTCGATTTCTCCATTTCCGAGTGCAAGGAGCCATTCAGCATAGTTTTGTCCAGCAGGGGTGTCAATTTGCGTGAGGACACACATGTTTTCGGAGAGATGCATTGTGTCGAAGTGGCGCCATAAAGTATAAGATTTAATACAGGCATCTATTGTTTGCGCACGTGTACCTTTGGTGACAACGGGGAGGATTTGACGGAAATCGCCACCAAGAACGATGACCTTGCCGCCAAAGGGCAGGGGAGATGAACAAATGTCTTGTAGTGTTCTGTCTAATGCCTCGATGTGGAATTTGTGCGTCATGGGCGCCTCGTCCCAGAGGATAACAACAGCCATGCGGAGAAGTTGCGCGAGTGCAGATTGTTTGGGAATGTCTAAGGTGGATGTGGCGGTGGGGGTGAGGGGTGCTTTGAATCGAGAGTGGAAAGTTCGGCCTCCGTGCAGTAGAGTAGCCGCGATGCCGCTAGAAGCAACAGCGAGTGCAACTTGGTCATGGATGCGAATGTGTGCAAGAATTGTGTTGAAGCAGAAAGTTTTCCCCGTGCCAGCAGGTGTATCGACGAAAAGGCAGAGCGGGGTTTTGTTTTCGACAGCATGGACGACGCGTTGGAAGATTGCTTGCTGGGAGCGGCGCAGTTGCGGGAGATTGGAGTCGAGGGTGTGTTGAAGTTCTTCTCTGGGGTATGAAATTTCGTCATCGATGATTCGCGGGATGCCTTGTCGCGACGGTCTGTCGGCAAGGCCAGCAGCCTGTTCTCTATATGTCGGTGCTGGCGATGCGAGTCCAACGTCCTCCAATTCCTTGCCCTCCTTTTGCAAGCGGCTTTCGATGTCTAGGAGGACCAAGGCTCTGATGATTGAGAGTGGAACATGTGCACCGACAAGATTTCTGTGGAAGTCGTCGGTCATTTGTTGCCAATGGATTTCGAAAAATTCATTAGGGTTAGCGAGTGCACAGTGGAGAATGATGCAAACGAAGAGGTCGCGAACCATGGGTGATGATGAGGTGAGGATTGCGTCTTGTAGAACGACATCGAATTGTGTGTTGTCGTTTAAGAGGCCGAGTGTTGTGCATGCGG